ATGTATGTATAAATACATAATTATGAATAATTTATTCGCTCTAAAATTTTTTAAGATATCTTAAATTTAACACTGGCTGCTGTTTAGAAAAATACAGAATGGAATACATTTTCTTTTAGAAATATTTGATTCTCTTTCAAAAAGCATAAAATACGCATCGATTTTCTTCTGTTCTTTCGATGACGTCAAACGAAACTTCCTTGACTGTATTATAAGTATTCATATGTATGTTTTTTTAATATAAAAGGTTATACACAATTCTGTTGTTTATTTATCAAGTCACTCTTTATCTTTTAGGGATGACATTTAATTTACTTATTAAAACTAATTTATAGCTTTAAATATTGCTGTATTAATTATTTGTATGAAAATTCTTTGAAAAAAATTCTGTGAAATTCTTTCAGGACAAAGATTACAGAAAGTGTTTTCACGTTCAATTTTCTGCACATTAATGATAAATAGATATTTAAAATACGTGGAAAGTATTTTGAAAGCTTAAACACAGGAAAACCACTAATAGAAAAATATATAACTTCAAAATTCCTTTAATATTCATATTGAATAATGACGCAAATACATGATATAAATGATTAGTCCCAATAATAATTATTTTATAAAACTTCTTTCTAATGTACTTTGTTTAATATTATAATGATACAAACTTCACTAACTTTTTGTTAATAATTTACAATTCAAAGAATTTTCAAATTTATTTTGACATTTTATCCTGAAAATTATATACTAGTAAAATCGAACTGGTAATATAAAGTTGGACTGCTTTTCAGCATTTTTCCAGTATGAATGGTAGAAATTTCAAATCATTGCTTGTGCCTAAGTTCTGAGTTGCGCTTGCGCTTTGAGCATGTCTTCCAAAGTATTGAGTAAAACTTTTCTTCGAATTTTATCTAAATATGTATTACGCGCTAGAAAGTTACCTTCCCTGTTTTGATACAATTGTTGCCTTAAAAAATCTGACTAGTCGTCAATGAAATGATGATGTCATGAAAAGACACAGCGTCGCCTTGAGTTTTATTGTAAGAAGCTTTTTCATATTTTCATACATTTGGTAATAATACGGGTTTGATATTTAAAAATTAAAGAACTTCAGCAAAATTTCATAGATAGATAACTCCCACGCATTAAATCTTTTTCTTGAAAAGAAGCATTGGTAATAATAGCAGAAATGAAACTATAATTACAGAACGATTGAATGTTTTTTTAAAATTAATGTTATGTACATTATTTTTTTATTATTGAAACTACAGTTTTCATATTTTAAATTGATGACTTATAAAATGCCGGGGAAGATTAGGATAAATGTGTTTTTAAATAAATATAATAATTTCTATGTTTTATTTAATTCATTCTACGTTGTAATGACATTTATTAGGCTATAATAATTGAAATAAATAATCTTTTGCTTTTCATAAAACGTTAATTGTTAAGTAACAGATAGACTTTATCTGAGTTTACCGATTCGTAAAGTTCTGCTACGCTGTCGACATCTTTCTTTTTTCATTCAAATTTTTTTCATAAGATTCTTAAACGTCTTGTAAGAAAAGTTTTGAATTTATACAGAACATTTTTGAAAAATATTTTGACTTCTACTTTCAACGAATATTTTTGAATCTTCTATCGTTTTTTGGTTTGCTTATTAGATATAAAAATACGAGAAAAAAATAATGAAAAAAACGGTTGATGCACATGAAAAAAATCGGTCTATATTTATGCAAATTGCAAACAATGTTTGATTAAAATACAGAGCGAATTTTATTCATTTCTGCATTCTCTCACTTTTCCCCCACCTTTTTTCACAACATACGCGCGTTCTCAATTGTTCTCGCGATGCGCTATTTCAAAATACACGGGAATAAGCGAAACGCAGACAAGAAATTTTCACTTTAAATTATTCCGTTGAACTGATCAGACTGAAATTCGTGTCAATTATGCAGATTGGTTTAATTAATATATTTCGGAAGTAAATTTTACATTTGTGCATTATTTTGAGGTCATATAAGAAAACTCTTAAGAATAAGAGAACAAGTTGAGTGCTTCAAAATGTGGCTTTGAAAATCTTCCTATAGTATCAAAAAAATATTATATTAGAAGAAGTGAATAAAAAAAATTGGAAACAAGAAAAAAAATTTAGCATATATGTATTTTAAATACATAATAAAGAAGAAAAGAGTGCATTAAAAAGAAGAAACATCGAATGGAGTAATATTGTATGGCTATTGAATACAATACTGCAGCATATTAACTAATCAATTGATCAATTCATACATCGTTCTTTTTTTTGGAATTGTTAAAGGGATAATACAGAAATCAATTTAAGGATAAAATTAAAATAGAATGAATGTATTAATGTTATGTTAAGGATAATGTTAGACATTTAAATGAAAATTTTAGTGTTGAAAAAAAATTATTGAAACATCACAACATTTTCCATTTTTTGCACAAATTAAAATCAGTTAGCAAAATGAACCAGCTGAAAAAGATGATGATTAAGTTTCTTTCAATTTATACAATCAATTTTATATTATTGAGTCGCCTAAGTTATTGTATGAGACAAACTGAAACGCCCAGCAAGAGTGATTTAAATACGCCGGCAGAAAATAATGATTTTAATATTGGAACAACAATCATCGATAAAAGCGAAGAAGAATCTGAAGAACAGTTTAGTCAATATAATATTTCACAATCTTATAGTGCGATTAGTGAATATGAAAGACAATATAAATCATACACTAAGAATATAACAAAAAAAATTGGAGTTCTACCTTCCAAAAAGAATGTTGAAAGTTTAATTAAGTCTATGGAAGGTTCATGTTTATCAACCGTTTGCAAAGCTCGAAAGGATATAGAAGATGCAAGTACCGAATCAATTCGAAAGCATATTCTTTTTAAGTTAGGAATGGATCATGAGCCCAATATTACAAATTATCCTAAAATAACAGACGAATTTCGAGAAATTTTATGCAAAAGGATTAATATAAGTCCTGAAAATTGTTTTGGAAGAAAGTTACCATCTAATGAATATCAATCTGATGCGCCAATTGCACCAAACAATAATGATTACGATGAGGATCAAAGTACACAATTCTATGAAGACGAACGATACATGTCGTATGATAATAGAATTTATGCTTTTCCTAGCAGTAAGTTCAAATTTTGCACTTCTTCAGTAGAATATTTAGTAAATTTTTTCTTTAAATTTTGTTTTACATAGGTATATGTATACATATAAATACAAGACATACTTTTTCGTTATTTTTGGTCGAATTCGAATAATTATTGTATGAAAATTTTGTTCTCTCAATCCCATAACATACATAACATTTAGATTATGTATAAATCCTTTTTTTGTCATTTTAAAGGCAAAAATAAATTGATAATATTAAGCGTTGTAAAACTTTCCCATTTACTGGTGATTTGTTTTTAATCGAGATTAACATTTTTTTCATTTAATTTATTTAAACAATAAAAAATAGTTCTTGAGAAGTTGATTTCAATATTGTTATCTGAATGAAAAAACTCAGTAATTTTTCTTAAATTTGAAACGAAGGTTTGCTAAAAAATGTAAGCTATCTAATTTATATGTTGTTCAAAACAAAAAAATGTTGATCAACATGCATTGATTAAGTATATCATTATGTTACTTCCTCTTGATTAAAACAACAACTTTCATATATTTAGCAAAAGCTGAAACCGAATATCAAGAACAAGGTTTAAAGCAAGTTGAAATTATGCGATTGTATAGGAAAGCAGCCTTTTAAAGAACGAAACACTAAGAAGGATATATTTAGTTAAAACCAGTTTTCAATTCGAGAAAATATGAACAAAACTACTTTAAACACAACCTGTCATACATTCAATCATTGCACCTGCTTACTTCATAAATAAATCATGCCTTCGGTTTGTTACTATATGTATCTGTTTGAGAACCGTTTCATAAAAAGGAAGATGAATATCCCTTTCTTTAATTTTGTAAATCTTGATTATTTTATTCATCCTACAAAAGTGTACAGAAAAATATTTTTAAGCACTATAACTTATCAGCTTATTTTCTTTTAATTTAACAAAATACTTGGTTAATCAAATTCGTAAATTTTGATATTTACGCGATCATTCATTCTTTAATTTTCTTTGCAAAGTGAATTATTTATGAAATGGAAATTTCCGTTTTAAGTATCTACCATAAATTAATCAATAATTTTATATATTTTTAAAATTGCTAAACTGTTAGGTAGTTCTAAATTTTTATTTTAAAAATTTATTTCATTAAGAACATGCAAGCGACTTAGTTTTATTTTCAAAAAGGTGTAGGCTTGTACGAAAACATCAATTTGCACAGAAGTTTTCCTTAAGTCGGAACAAATGTGAACACGAATTAAATATTCTGATTAAACATAGATTTCGAGAATACGATTTTATAATTTTGTCTGAAGTTATACACTATATTTATAAGGAAACTCTAATGGGAACTTAAATATTAATGTAAAAAAAATTCAGGAAACTGGAACAAAGACATTTTAATTTAAAGATTTGTAACTGCTGCTTTTATTTCTGATAAAATTCTCTTGCAATGCTTAAAGTTTACTTAATGAAAACTACTTTATATTAATGTAAAATTTAATAATCCTGACACTCTTTTACTGATGCTCATGAACACACCATTTTTATTTATCTAAATGAAATTTTGATAATAAATTTAACTAGTTTTTTGAATTTAGATGGTATAGATATAAATTATTAATTTTCAAAACATTTTTGATTCGAACTGAACAAGAATTAAGTAAGTTTGTCAGGTTTATATAATGACACTGTAGAGGTTGGATATTTAGTTATAGCTCTTACATCAATAACAAACTCTACAAAGTTATGATATTAGACTGAAATGATTATCCAATGAATTTTTTTTATTTATTTGTGTCGATGTGCTTCACGTTTATTCCTTTACATAATGTGCAAATGTATAAGTCGAGGTTAGCGACTTTAGAATAAAAGATGCTCTTGTTATTTTTTGTTATTGCATTTTCTCCCTTGTTTTTTTTTGCATTTTGAAGAGGACCCATCACAATCAAGATTTTTGTGTATGTGATTTTTTCTTCAAATGTATATAAGCGAGAGATAGAAAGAAAAAACGAAAAAGAATGTTACGAGAGATAAATATGTGAACTTGAGTAAGAGTTCAAGGTTATTCCAAGATTTATTTAATTCAAAACTTTGCAACCCTAATGAACCATTTTCTTCCTCAAATATGTAAATAATATTGAATCTATGTCAATATTACATTAATGTAATTTTTTTTCTTTTACAGCTGCTATAAAACCGCGCCATAAAAGTCATTTAATTTTTCAATTTACGGAGTCTCAAGAATTGAATAACGCTGTCATATATGCAACATTGAATCTTTTCATTCATAGTGAAACATATCTGAAATCTAACAATATACATGTCCCTCAAGGCATACAGTTCTTAGATATCGAAGTAGCAAATATTTTACAAGGATTGCAACATAAAAAGATTTATAATACGTACCAGAACATTTCTATACCAAAAGGAGACACTAATGGTGCATTTATACAACTGAATATAACCAATTTAGTGTCTGAATGGTTTTTGAGTCAAAAAACAACGCACGGAATTGCTTTAAAAATTATGTTCTCAAAAACCGGATTGGTTTTACCACACAAGGTTATTTCTTTAGATTCAGGCAATTATTCTACGGTGAGTTAGTTGATCGTTTTTGTTTCTTTTTAAAATAATATGCATGCAAGGAGATTTTTGTGCTGTCCATATTAGTTAAATATTCGTTTTGCAAAAAGGCAAAATCAGAATCAATGAAATCTTATGTTGTGAAACGTTAGAACGAAAAAGATATTAAGGCAGAATTGTGAGAAAAAATAGAATACCGAAAAATAATGCACTAAAGACATTTATTGTGGATTCCTAAAATTGCGGAAATTGTTTGAAAATGTATCCGTTATTAATATATCTATATATATGTAAGTATATCGAACAAAAATTATTCGTTTCTTTTTATACAATAATAATCTCACTAAACGTCAATTTTATATTTAATACAATTTTATCCGATTTATATTTACATATTAATAACGAGTAAATTTAAAAAAAGACTTCCGCAATGTTGGTCGGAGCAATAAACATCATGAACATATTATTTCTCAGTTTTTCTTTTTTCGCAATTAATGTCACGAAAACTTTTATGATAAAAAAAGATCTCATAGTTCTGAGCTTATGACGAATGACAGTAATGTTGTTTTTGTGCTGCTGAGTTTATCGAAAAGAAGTCATTTCTTTATTGCATAAGAACCTATATTGCATTTTTTGGAAATTGTTTGAAATCGTCGGGTCATTGAAAAAGTATCAAAATATCAATGCAACAACTACAACAGTCATCAGTCAAAATTTAATAGTTAAAGTAAATATAAAAACATGATTATAATGATAAAGTTTTGATGAATAATAAATCTTGACATAAAATAATATGGTGATTAAAGTTTCCATTACGAGATACATTTAACAAAATGACCTTTTAAACCCTTACTGATGATTCTAGCGTTTTAAGTTTTAACAAACACCATCGATTACAATTACAAAAAAAAAAATAATACTTTTTCAACGTTTATCTATGACTGTTAATTTGAACCTGTTGTATAATTTTTCGAACACAATGTCGGCTATCATCTACTGTTTATCTTCAGCTTAATGTTATCTCTATGATAGGTATTGGGTGAAAGCATAACGGGCGGTTATACTAGTAAAAAATTGTTTTCTCTTATAATTGTTCCTTACTTGTCCTGGACGTTATAATGATGATGAGTCATATTTAGTTAATGTTTTAATTTTTTTTACATAATTTTGTTTTATATTAGGACAGAGAAGTGCGTCCGAGATGGTAAATTATCGATGAGATCGAATCAAGTTGATCAATATATATCAGAAAAATTCTTCAAAAGTTTTTTCAAAAAATATTTATCATTGCAATTATTTACAGTATTTATGTATTCTTATATTTTGTTGACAATATGTATGTATCAAACGGCTCCAAAAAATTTCACTCTTTTTGACATGCTCTTCTTAGGATGTCAAAGATGAAGATGAAGAAAGATGAAGGGAGCTTTATATCTATGAACATTAATAAGTGTACCCCATGTATCAATCTGAACAAGAACAACTCTTGAATTTAAATAAGATTTTAAATTTATAAAACGAATTGAAAAATAGAATAGATATTACAATTTTTTTGTCTTATTGAATTCTAATCTGTTTTTATCTGATATCTTTCAACCCACTCATCATTTCAATATTCAAGTTACAAGTCAAGAATTTCAATTATTTTAAAGGTCACGAGCCGACATTATCAAAAAATTAATCATTCTTTCATGAAAATGAAACTCAAAAATCTCTAATTTCTTAAATACAATGTTATTATTAGGTATTAATTGTTTTTTGAAAAGCTTTATAGATACATATAAATGGATTTAAGCAAATTTGCTTTAATATTTACCTAGTTATCTTGTTAAATTATGATCGATTGCTGAATATTTTGTTGTATAATAAGATACAAATTTTCTAATTGAAGTCTCTTTTCAATAATTTTACAAAAAATAGCATATGTCGATCCATAAATAGATGGACCAAATCAGTGTTTAGTGTTTGCGTCTTTTATGCCCAAAAATGATTAATTTTTTTAATACATTTCAGAGACCATTCATCGATATACTTCCAAAAGATCAAAGGAAGAAAAGATTAAAACGAAGCAGCCCTCGTTGTCAAAAGGGATCAAACGAGAGTCGTTGTTGCCGTCATGAATTAACAGTAGATTTTGATAAGTTTGGATGGGACTGGATTATTGCTCCAAAAAAATATGATGCAAATTATTGCGCCGGAGAATGTCAAATAGCATTTTTGCAACAATATGCTCATACTCATGTAATGCAATTAAGCACGGCAGCAAATCCTTGTTGCTCTCCTCGAAAGATGACTCCAATGCAATTGCTGTATTTTGACTCTCAACTTAATATTGTTTTGGGCACGATACCAAATATGATAGTTGAAGAATGTTTTTGTTCATAATAAGACTTGATTTATGGTTGCATGTAAGAAAATCAAAGATTTATTAATAAGAAGCTTAAACTTGATATTCATGTCAGTATTGCAATCAAGAAAAATAATTTCAGACCTCTTAGATTTAGAAGAAAGGTAGATAGTTTCTAGAAGAAAGAAAAAAGAGAATTTTAAATATAGATTTGTAATATAAAAATTATTAAATTAATGATGCAAGCATAGTAGAAGTTCATTGAAAGGTATTTAAGAGACTTACATTATGTATACATTGAGTGACTTTTTAGTAGAATAAAAATATGCTTAAATAAAAGGAAAAATTATTTTATACAAATGAATTCACCACTATCATATTTTCGATTTACTCATAAAAATAAAATAAAATGGAAATACAAACACAATTGTTTTTTGTCACTTTCACTTCATGTAGGCTATTTTTTATATAAATAGAAGAGATTATGATTTACTTAAATAATATTTATATTTGCGAGTTTTGCGTCTGATGTTTGTTTGACATAATCATAAAGGAACAATTTAGGGGGTTTCAGAGAGCAGGAGCAGAAAGAGAAATTAGTTTTTCAGTCTGAAAATTGTGAATTGTTCAATTATTTATTAACAAAAAATAATATTATTTAATTTGAATATATTTTCAGTTCTAAGGTTTTTCCAAGAATATGTTACAAGAAATGCTTTTACTTTGAATGAATGTTATATTTATACAGATTTTATTGTACTCAAATGTGATGATTTAACGTTGACAACGAAATATTCTGTGTTAAGATCTCATGAGTGTCTTGATAGTGGTTTAGACAGATTGGTCCAAATATGCTAGGTGGTTTTAATTTTTTAAGAATTGATTTATTTTTATGTTTATATAATCAATTAAAGTTAAAATTCTATTCTAAAATGTTTGGCTTTTATTAGAGATAAACATGAATTCTTTATTATTACATTTGGATATTTATGTAAATTTGAAGTCGTTTTCATATTTTTAGGAAAGGTCATTTTTTCAGTCCAACCTGAGTCGCTCTTTAAAGGTTTTAAAGCATTCTATATCTGAAAACTCATATTATTTTTTAATATACTTATTCTTAACATTATTAAGGAACCTTATTGTTTGCCGATAGGACGTGTACCATATCTGAAACATATACGAAGTTCTGAATTAAAAAAAATCTACTGTGGAAAAATCAGATAATAATATTAATGTAATATTAATATCATATCCAAATAAATGAACGGTCAGTTGAAGAAATATTATAACGTTTCTCTAAAGCTCATGTTTAAAACTCCAGCGTTTATGGAACATTATCATGAAGTTCCGAGCAAAAGTTGAATTTCAATTTCCTCTAAATAATTTTTTTCTCAATTTTTAAAAAAGTGATACTTACAGATTTTTTTTCATTCAAATACTTATGCACAAATATAACTAGGTAGGATTATTTTCACACTCAATTAGAATTATCACATCTGAAATAAATATTTTTTAGGTCTCCAAAAGGTCTACCGAAAGCCATAATAAAGAAAACTAATATTAATTCTGAATTTTTTTTATTTTCTTTTTAGAATTTACATTAATAAATATTTTACTCTTCATCATACATTACATTTTACGTTTGTTTTCATCTTCTTCCATTCCTTTTCAATTTACAAATAAATAGTTACTTTCAATGAATGTCATAGATACTTATCTATAATTTTCTGTTGCTTTTTTATTCATTTATTCTCCAATTAAGTTTTTTCTTCTTAATTTGCCATAATGAAGTGTGTCGACATTTTCCTTCGCGTTTTTCCCAATTTCTCTACTTAATGATGGTTTAATTTTTCTTTTTAACATTTCAATGTTATTTATTTAAGAATTATAAATTAGAAATTTCATTGCTGCTATNAAATCTCTTTTGTAAATTTAGGTATCAATTTAAATGCTCCAGAAAATGAATAATGACTATGTATTTTTCTTAATTTCTGTTTTAATTCTTTTATTTAAAATTGAGGTTCAGTTTTAATGAAGCTACTTTTTGAAATTCTGCTGCAGTATAAATTAATAGGAATTTTTTTCTCCTACCGTAAACCATAACTATCTACTTAAGTCGTAAAATAAGATCTAGAAATTTTAAAAATAATATTTATGACTAAATATTCAAATTATATAAAATGAATGATTAAAAATATAGTTAAAGTATTTTTTAAAAAATACTTGGTAGGTGCATTTATACATACATATCTATGTATTATAATATAATTTTCCCTCATTCTTCGTTTCAATGGGTAACGCAAGTATATTTAGTCAGAAGAATTTTTGATGGTTACATTTTGAACTTTAGAATACTTAAAAAAGCCAATGTTGATTGAGTCTAGCGTTAAAACATTTTTTAGAAAGGTACTCAATTTCCATTAATATATTAAAAGATCTTTATTTTTAAATATGAAAAATATGTTTCTTTTGGTTTCATAATGGCATTTCGTTTTTCTAAAAAAATTTATAAAGTATCTAATAAAAATAATTAATCAATTAAACATAACTGTCTAAAACTTATGTTTCAGTAAAACTTAATGAGAATTAATTAAATATTTTAAGAAAATATGCTTTTATCTGCCATACTTTCCATGTATATTTTATTATTTTGTTTTTGTTTGGAAAGGCTTTGGCAATAGAACGACTGATTAGTATTTATATCATTTTCAAGAAACTTCATTCCTTTAATTATGATTCAAAGACATTAGATCAGCCGCTCATTATACCAAATTCAAAAATCTGTGTTGTTTTGATCGAATTCATCTGGTTCAGCTGGAGTCACTAATGTCATTTGATGACCAGCAACATTACTTCCAGCCGACATTGTGGGTTCTGTGTTACGTCTCTTCATTTTACCTTTTAACTTTTTCAACATTGTTGCCTGCCGTCCGGTCATAATATTTACAGATTTTATTTTTAATTTTAATCACAAATCATATAAAAATGTTTAAACACGGAGATGATATTAGATTTGGTGATGAATTGTATAGTTCCGCGTTTGTATTTAAAAGAAATAAACAAGAAAATAATTATTTTGATGTTAATATTTGTGTTCGAGTGAAAATCAAATATGTAAGAGTTCCAAAGTAATTTGATCATAGACAAAATTGAATTTTTTTTACCAGGGACTTGTTCTTAAAGAACTAAAATATTACGTTTTTTCTTTCTGTAAACCTTTTACATATAAATCATGAGTTAGATAATATATTAAACTGTTACATTTTTTATGCAAAAAATGTTTTTTTAGCGTTTGTTTTCAAATCAGTAAAACTACCTAATCAGTTTTTACTAGAAATCGAACATTTTTTCTCAAAATCCCTTAAGTTATTGTTTATTAGAACATCACAATAATTCTTAAAAAAATCGACAATTAGCAACACAAATCCTTTTTTTTCTAATAGTTTCGAAGCTTGGATATTTCAAAAATTTGCTAAATAGAGCCTTTGCTAATTATTTTATGTCGAAATCATGTAAAAAGTATAGTATAACTAAACACAGCATGAACACAACACTTTTATCACTTTTTACACGTTAAAAACTTACATTTTATGTACATTTCGATAGCTCGACGGCTATAATTTTCAGAAGAATTGTTTCTGAATTGCGAAAATTATTTCTGAAGATGATAGCCGTCGAGCTATCAAAATGTACATATTTAAAATGTAAGTTTTTAACGTGTAAAAAGTGATAAAAGTGTTGTGTTCGTGCTGTGTTTAGTTAGAGCCTTTGCTGTTTAAATTAATGCAGTAATTAAAAACAGAAATATAAAAAAAAATATTAAAATTTACCTAGAATATTAAGCGTGCAGAAAATTGTGAGACGATAATTTAAATACTTAACCACTGAAAAAGGTTTTAAATTAAGTTTTAGTTCAATAAAAACTCATGTTGTTCACTGAATAAATAATATAAATCAAAAGGTATGATATCAGTAAAATGATATAAAATAAAATAGAATTTGATTTTCTGTCATGTCCGCAACTTTTTAATTAAATTTCAATTAGGTATTTTTATAAAACTGCAACTACATACATATGCATGTATGTATATGTCAGTAAATTTTTCTTTATTTTTTATACTTTCTTTATCATACCAAAAGAAATTAAGGTATATTAAAATAGGATTGACTTAAAAAGAAATTTTTAAAGTTTTAACAGATAAATTTATATATATTTAAGTATAAGTAACATTAATATACCATTAAAATAAATATAACGTCAGCAATAACGAATATTGGAATTAATGTTGTTAATTCATTTTTTGTCGTTATTTTATAGTATCTATGATCAAATTAAATTGAACACTCTAAAATGGACGATCTTCTCTGTTATACTTATTATTTCTATCAGATCATGTGTAATGAAGGGGGAGTAAATCAAAATTTAGGAAAGTTGAACTGTTCAAGTTTTTGAGTGCTTTTCAAATTTTCAAAACGAAATTATTATTGTAAAGATTAAATTAAGTAGAACATTGTATGCAAATTATAGAGCCATTCAGTAGAAGTGTAAAATGGTTCAGAATCATGCCTTGTATTCATTAATTACAAAAAAATTAATGAAACGATAATCAATTATCAACTCACAAATATGAAACGGAATTAAGAGTAGCTAAATTTCGAGAAAAACTTTATTTTTATGTCCCTGAAGGGGTTGAGTAATTTTTTTTAACCAATATACAGAGGTAAATAAAAAAATTTTAGAGACAAAAATTTTTTGATACAAATTAGTTGATGCAACGATTCTTCAAATTTCGAAATAACGTCATTTATAAAAGCATTTGATAAGAGATTCCAATATGCAAAATACGAGACTTTTCTAAATTACTTTTAATTATTGTGGTAATAAAACAACAATTTGATGAAAGAAATACAATTAACAAAATATGTACATTATTTGTATAGGAAAGGACTGTGAAACTTACTATCTGTAGAAGTTGGAGTAACTTAAATAACTTATGGAGTTGAAAAACTTGTAAAAAACATTTTGTTTCGAAAATATTCCATACAATATAAAATATGCAATTTAATAAATAGATATTGAGACTGTTAAAGAAACACGCAATACTTTAATTTTGGGTAAGATTGAATGATGGCTTAATCAGGCGTTCATTTTCTATATGAAATGAACACGTTAAGCAAATCTATCCCAGATCATCATTATGTCAATATGATCATAATAGTTTTTGATGATAATTCAAGTTTACGATGACTCCAATATTTATGCTTAGCCACAAATTTGCTTTTACTCTCAATTATTTAATCAAATATTATTATTTTAATCAAACTTAAAACGTGTAGGTATTCTTTGAACATATAAAAGTTCTTATTTCTTTCCTTTGTGTTAATAATTATGCATAAGTGAAAGTGCTTAAAAAAATGTGGTGAAATTGCTTTCCAATTTTTCATGTGACATAGACCAATTTTTAATCTTCAGAAAAGTATTTCTATAAGATTAATAATGTGACTAAATAAATGACACAGTGAATAAGTAAATACAAACCAAATTCATAAGAATAATTGATATTGAAATTTCACAGAAAAGCAGGATTAAGAAATACTGCTTAATAATTTTTTATAAACACTTTTCATTTTTATAGTAATTCAGAAAATTGTGAATACAGCAAATGAAAATAATTTAAAAAAATTTAAGCAGTTTTGAATCTTGCAAAATGGAATCTATCATAAGAAGTAAGATTTAATTTTCTCCATCGAATTATTCTTTTAAAAATTTGAATTGGCTTCATCTTCATCTTCATACTCATTATCATAAGTTTCTTCTATTTTTCTATATATTTTCTTTAAAGTATAAGTAATATAAATATTTGTGTTCGTTCTTTCAGCCGATTTATAAAGATGGAAATGATCATTGAAACTATCTTGATTAAAAATAATAGAGCAGAAAATGACAAGATGGATAATTTTTATTCATTTAAAAAATATCTAATATGTTAGCATTTTCATTTGTATCTGACGCACGTTTTAAGTTTAAAGAATAGTCATTCTCATGCAACTATAAAAATTATTTTGATACCTTGTGCTAATAATTACAACAACAATCTAAGGAATAAAACCCATCAAAATCAAGAAAACAATGAAAATAAAATTTCGAAAGAAGCGCAGCTGATTTATTTCATAGAATTCACTTTTTAGATTTCGATGGAATTTATTCCTTAGACGTATTTTATATATTGAAAATGCACTTATTAAATATTTGACGCTTCAGCAACTTATGGCACATAATAAGAAAACGAGTTTCTCATAATCCTTGATTTCTGGGTTATATGGATCAGGAAATATTTATCTATTTAGGACCCCGGCTATTTTTTCTAAGGTATCCAAAACTCGAGAAACTTAGTTAAGAAGGAAATAAATGTTTATAAATTTTGGTAAATGACTATCATTCAAATAGATAACATTTGAAATATGTGTATGTAGGTAATGAAAAAAAATTCAAAAGCAAGATTGAAATAAACATCCGAAATTTGAATTCATTTTTTTACTTCATAAAAAACAAGAAAAAAGCAAGCTTGGACCGGACGGACGGGTTCTTTATGTGCCACCTAAAAAAGGTTCCTTCTCACGATCGCCATTTTCGGGACCGCCTTGAGAACTTCCAACCACGGCCGCTGAAGATATATGAGGTTCCGTTAATCTCCTTTTGCTTTTTATTTTCTTCAACATTGTAGCCTGCATAAATATCAATTGGAAGGTTTTAACTCTTTTAAAGCGTTGCTCATTTATTACTGAGATTTTTTTATTTTTGTTTTACTGTAAAACTAAAATGTTTAGATTTATCTCAGATTTTTATAAATGACAGAAAACAAAGCAAAATATTTTTATGTCAATTAAGGCCGGATATTAACATCTTTCTAGTACTTATAAGTATTTTTTAAATGTCTATAGTCAGCCTTTTGAAACATTTTACATCAAATTGAAATCATAAGAAAAATATTCAATCTAAGCTAAATAAAAGCATGCACCTAAAATATATAAATTTCGGCGTGCTGAATATATAAGCTGTAACAAAACACATACAAAGCAAAGCTTTTAATTTGGACCTTCACTAGATAATAATAAAAAATGTTAGGGAAGAAAATAAGAACTAAGTTCACAAATGATCTGTTTAAATTCAGCAGGTTACAGTGATATATTTCATACCTTTAAAGCTGACTTAAGAACCACGACATCGCCAGGACTCTGTACCCAAGGTTCACCATCAACTTGAACAGGTATGTCGGAGTGAAGGTGAATTTTTATGTGTCCACCCTATAAAATAGAAACATTTAAGGAGAATTAATTACTTAAATTATTATATATTGTTATAAGAAGCTCACTTGTGCTATTCTCATTGCTGATCTTAATCCTGACTGTATTTGACCCAGATGAACAACACCCGTAACTCCTACAACTTCCAACATTCCATCCCAATGATTTGGTTTTGAAAAGGCGTCTTCCTTTTCAGGACCCCAAGGATTCGCACCAGATCCCCAGCTAAAATTTTTGTATGTACATATTTTATTACTAACAGCATAGATTTATTACAAAGTATCAGGAAGTCAGAATTCGATATTGTTGATATTAACTGTGCCTTATATTTTGTGTTTCAAAACTCTGAAAAATATTTAACTGTTCTAAGAATTTTGTATCCGCCTGATATTTCAAAAAATTTCATGCTTTAAAGCAAGTTTGAATTAGGCTTTTCTGAGGAAAGTTCATTATTTCAATAACTAAAAAATCGAGTTTAGATCTTCGAATGTATATGAGAAAAATAATCTTAAAAACTTTTTCAAGAATCTGTAATTTTACCTTAAAATGTTCAGAATAATGATTCCTTCTACAGGTGGGAGTTCAACAAGTTTTCCATCAACTTCTAATCTGATTTCCTTATGTAAATCCTTGCACATTTTGCGTCCAACCATCTTTCTTAAACCCATTTTCACATACACTCCTTTATTATGTAGACGTGAATTAAACTTGTTTGGGTTTTCTTCACGAGCATTATGGAAATCTAAGCATAAATCAGCATCTATTCCTATACCGAAATAGTTGTTCATTACGAATATTTGAGAATTGTCTTCACTTTGTCCACCCACTACTGAAAAAAGAAAAGTTTTCTTATTAATTACAAAATTCTTCTAATAAGAATAACTGTTTTCATATCTCAAGGTTTTTTCAACAATTTTAATTACAGGTTTAATAAACATGTTTATGAATTGCCACTTTCAATTTATAACTTTGTTTGTTTATTGAATATCCAACAGTTAACGTTAACGACTCAGATAAGCATGCAAAATTAAAAAAATTTCTTGGTAAAATTAAAATAATTCAAAAATAAGATAATAGATATGCTGGGAATAGCTTTTAAGCTTTTGACTTTTTATGTTTTGCCAATATTTTTGTTTATTTAGCTGGACACAGAAATCAAAATTGCTGTGTTTTAAGTCTTAAATGGTTAGAAGTTTTAACCGTTTCTACAAACATTTTATGAAGGGTAATTAATTTTTGAAAACACAATTTCCACATAAGACGAAATTTTTTAAGTCGAATGCATCATCAGTATAAATAATTTCGATGATCTCATAAAGTTTATTTAATAATCGTTTAGCAAAAAAACGAAAAACAAGAAGACGAATTAACATTTTAAAAAGCTGTTGCAAAAAGCTCTGATAAGTTTATTTCAAAAATATCAGAACTGGAATAGCTTTGATTTTTGCAACATACACCTAGGAAAATTACGTAAATTTACTAAATGCATGCAAGATTTTACTAAAACAAAAAAGTTTTTCATAAAAGATTTTGAAATAATGTATTAAACTCAAAATGTAGTAATACAAAGAAGCAACCGAGACCATATTACTGTTCACATCAAATGAGATTATAATGAAACCTTGGCACTGTGGCGTAGAAATTGTAGTGGCGTGGTACTGTTGATGTTGATTTGATTGCGAATTCACATCAGCTTGTTGAATCTTCTTCTTCTTACCAGTTGAATTTGATGGCGCCTTAGGCGCAACGTCTTCGGGTTTGTCTTCAGGATGAAACACAACAGTCCACCGATCGAGACGAATTTCTTCTGCATCAATGACATCACGAAGTAAATTTAAAGGATCTTCGCCTCCGGTGTAACCTGCACCCCAACGTAAAACACGAGCTAAATCGTTTCCAGTTCCCAGTGGCACAATGGCGCAAGGTGGACTTGAACATTCAGAATCCTGCCCTACATTATCCAAACATTGTAGTACCCATCCAATTGTTCCGTCCCCACCACATACTAAAATTTTGTAATCTTGTATATGTCTGAACACGTATAATCTGAAATAAATTTCATTATATTTAATACTCAGCTCTTTTATTTTTTTCAGATTTTTTTCCTTACCCTGGAAGAGGCCCACCGTTGTCCAAATCAAAGACTTGATAGGGATTGAGAAGCTTTCGGAAGCTATTTATCAGCTCAAGACCTTGACAACCACCAGATTTCACATTTACAAATACAAGTAATGGTTTAACTCCAATAGGGACCATGCTGGGTTCAATGTTAGGTAACAGTAACACCAGCAAATGTTTTTCCTCATATTTCGATTCTCTTAATGCGTAAAGAGCTCGTACCTAAAATTGAATGAGATTTAAAAAATGTAATTAATTTTTTTATCTTATCTTATGATTTGTTATTTGAATAGAATAAATAAAATATAAAAAAAAACTTTCTCCTTGGCTCGACTTCCTTTGATGACTTGATTTCAATTTATTTTGTTCTAATTTTTTTAGATGATTTTTGATTTGAGGTGCTCTTCAGAAAGAATGTGTTATAGTAAAATCTGCCATTTCCATATATGACGCATTTTTGATCATCTGTTAATTCGAAATTTTAGATGCTTAACTGATACAAAACTTTTAACAGATTTGCGAAAATGATAGATCTAACTAAAACAGTTTTTTTCTGAATAGCACCTTGAGATAAAAGTCAATCGATTCATGTTCCTGATGATAAGTGAAATGTGTATGTAAATTTCTATGTTGCCATCATTTAAGAAGTTCTAGCAGATTATTTATAATCAAAGAAATATAAAAAATTTCTTTCTCGTCTATCGTTAGTTGACTTATTTGAGATATAAGGGACGCTGCTACTCTACTTTAACATTATTAAAAATCTTTGAGTAAGAAATTATTCTTACTTGTCTATTTTTGAAATAATGGCAAAATTTCGAATCTTGTTTGCTTCTTCATCAGGCCCTCTTTTTAATAAAGTTAACATAAATTAATTTTATTTCAATAAATTTATTCTGCTTATGCTATTTATGATAAATAGGGCCTAATGAAGATGCAAACAAAGTTAGAGACGTTACAAGTTTTTATATCAATAAACATGAAAAAATCTCACTTTCATTGGAACTAAACAAAAAATAATATTCTTTTTATGAGTGTAAGAAATGTTTTTACCGCTTTCGACGCATTTTCATATGTGATGACTAGAGAACCATATTCATAGTAAATTGGACCAATGCTTGAGAACTTATTTTCCACTCCCAAGAATTCCGTTAAAATTTGTTCGTAATTCCGTTGTGAAAGACCCGGTGGTAAATTTCCAACAAATAATGCTAAGTTTGGTCCATGAGGATCCTGTTTTAATTGTAAGTAAAAGCGCATCAATTCCATTTGTCTAATTGAATCTTTCGCCAATTGTTTCATTATATCCCATGGTCGTTCATTCCACGAGAGCACTCGTTCAGTGACACCTCGATCAAGAAGAATTTCAGAGCATCTATAATCTTCAATTTGATGATCATGGAGTCCAAAATTGTTCAAAGCTTCGCGAATGAGTTCTTTCACTGTAGTGTCATTATCTACTTGAACTGTAACGTAAGATTCTTCAACTTGTAATTTCCCAGGATACACTCGAACAAAACCTTTATCGATTTCTTTATCACTGAATTACAAATCAAAAAAATTTATTAACATTATTTAATACATATACATAAATCAATCATATTTCTTACCGAAACCTTAGGAAAATTGCTGGTCGTTTTCCTTCAATTTTCTGTAAATTTAAAACTGGCATAGGTTCTTGAATTTGTATCTCATCACCATTTGTTGCATACAGATCCGTGAGATAAAATTGCTAATTGAAAATAATTGGAAATTAAATTATTCTGTTAAGTTATTATTTTTTACATTTACTCACAGTTGGATCTTTAGTAATATGAAAAGCTCGGAGAGCAGTCGTTAATAATTGCTCAAGAGAGCATGTTCGAGGAACAGTGATAGCTCGAAAAATTCTTCTTCGCAATGAACAGTTTCCGTCAAAAACTTTGATAGTTTCTATAATAATTTTATTAAATTATACTATATTCAGACTATTTTAAATATAATTCTTTTTGCAAAATTACCTTCATCCCTGTCTTCCTTGTCTTTTTCCTTTTTCTCCTTATCCTTTTCACCTTTATGCGCCGACTCATTTCGTACACTGGAACATGCTCCCATTCCTCCAGTTTCAGATTTTCCATATTCATCATCTCGAAAACGAGCTGCATCACCACTGCTCAAGTCGTCAGATATACTTCGAGCTATAACCAATCAATAAATAAATAAATATTTGCTTAAATAATAGTTTTTTTTATCAAAAACAGGTTATAGAAAGCTTTCAAAAGGCTTAAGGAGAAATAAGTATAAATATTAAGCAGTATTATAAAGTTATTGTATTTTTAGAAAATTAAAGAAACATAATTTGATTAGTTTGATAACCTCTTAGTTTGATAAGCCACACAATATGAATGGAAATTCTACCTCTGATATTTCGTTTACATTTTCGCCATTGAAGTGAAAATTTCTGAACCCGCCTAAGAAATTTCATGTAGAATGGGCCATTACTTCGCTTAGAAAGTTTTAAATCTTCTTGAGCTACTCTAGTTTCTGATGAGCAAATGTTATCAGCGGATTCTTGTGTTTTATGGAAATTGACATTCATTTCTATTTGTGATGAGCCAAAATGCGTAAGAGATGAACAATTTGAATTACTTTCAAATCTATCTGACTCAATGTTTTTTCGTTTCAACATTATTCTAGGCCGAAGAATAATTTTTTTTCTTGATTCTCCTTGTTCTTGAAATGATTTGCTTCTATTGATCAAAGAATTTTTAAAAGCTTCCTTAGGAGGCAGCAAAAATTTTGATGAGACTATATCTGTTACAGTTTGTTTCATATTGGATTTGTTAATGATGTTGTCGTATAAAGACTTATCACTGCTTTGTTGGCTTTCTGTGCCATTAAAGTATAGAGTATCTTCATAGTTTTCTAAAGAAGAGAGATCACTTTCACATAGTTCTAAAGTACGAAGCTCAGCTGAAGATGTTATTTTTTATATTTGTATATCGTTAACGACGACACCAAAAATTTAAAACAAAAAATAATAATTAAAATGAGAAAATGTTTATATCTAAATCGAGGTTGAAAAAAAAAGTTACTGATAGAAGTTAAAAAAAAATGTATAAAAAGAAGAGTTTTAAAATGAAATAAGTATCTATGTGTACAGAATTTTATTGTATACCACTATCAACTTACGACAAGAGTATTCACGTGTCATTGGAGCTCCTTTAGCCTTCACTTGAACACCTATTATTGCTTCCATTGGCACTTCAGTTCTAGGTATTGAAACTGCATGTGGTGGCAGATATATAGGTTGCAACATACCGAATGTGCATTCTTGAGACACAAAATGACGACAGCCCCCATGTGAAGTAAATCCACACCACTCACAACGATATCCTAAAAATATATTTTATAAGATTAGTATATTTAGTTACAAAGAAAGACAAATTAAATTAACTTATTCTACCTGTTAAACATTCAGTTGACCAACATGTTTTCTTACAATATGCACATTTTGAAGACTGTGGTAAATTTCCTTCACGCCAATGATGAACATGCTTTACAGATACCAACTCTTTTCCTGGAACGTAAGTGGCATTTTCCTTGCAATCAGCAATTGCAAAGTCTTGGCACTCAATGTGCGCATAATATTCACAGACTAAAATTCATAATTAAAAATATTTCTTTTTTATTTTAAGATCAATTTTTATAACTTACTTAAGCAGTGAACAGCAGCAGTTTCATCTAATCTTTTGCGACAAACATTACAAAACCTTCTTTTGTGGTGACTTGGTTCAGACCAACAATGTGCTACAGGATTTTTGATCAAACATGGAGCAATTCCTGAACACGGTGTAACGACATTGGTGACACATTTCTCATGTACAATGAAATTGCAAACTATGGATAAATGTAAATATAAATAGGTTTGTAATCATCTATATTTATGTATGAGTATACTTCGCATGCATTCATATAAATAGTCATATTGTATTATATTTGTACAACTTTTCTAAGAAGAAAAAAAATGGACGAAATCGCGATTCATTAACTTTCTTTTTCAATTCAATTTTTAGTTTTCCCCCAAACTCTTTCCCTGGGTATGACGTCAACAAAACAGCATGCATTTTTGTATAGACATGCGCTGTTAAAAATTACTTTATGTACATAGTAAAGCTTTATTTTGCAATGTTTATAACCACGATCCTGGCTTTTCAAAATATTTTCACTAAATTATTATTTATTTGACATTTTCCATGACATGATATTCATGTAGATAAATATTGTGATGGTAATAATAATTACTTAGAAGAACGAGTGTTATATTTTTTCAGTCATTAAACACATAACTTCTTTTTGAAAAAGTAGCAAATAGTATTAAAAATAGTTTTAATAAATATCCATTCACAATTTGCATGACTTTTTTACCGCTATTTAAGAAAATTAATGGAGAAGCAAATACTGAAAATTATATTTAAATCAAAAAAATATTTTTAGATATGTTTGTTGTGAGTAAATAAATAAAAAGTACTCAACACAAAGGAATGAAATAAAAATATTAGATACATTTCTAATTTTAAATCTAATTTCATGATCCGGAAACAACAAATTGAAAAAAAAAGAATAAAGAACTAATTAATATTAAGAACCTTTTCTTTTATAATAAAGTTCAATTTTCATTCAATTTCATGTGTATTAAATGTAAACAATATTTACTAAATATGTATGAACATTAATTTAATTTTTTATATGAAATAGCCTGAAATTTTCATTATAGATTATGTTTTAGATTCTATTCCAAAAAAATCTCATCTTATAGTATGTCCCATGGAATCTAACAAAAAAAATATATATTTGCATTTACGCATATTTCGATAATTTATAGTTTTGATTTGTTTTAAAGAAAACCGTCTTAGTGATGCGCTTAATATTATTAGAACACATTTCTATTTGTTTTAGACATATTTAAATCCATTGATGAAAATAAAATATATGTAAGTCCTATAAAAAAAAACGATGGAAAAAGTCAATGGAAATGAACGTGCACTGGAGTCTGTAAGGAATTTCCCGAAACGCAAACTAAGATATCTTAAATCAAATTATAAATATTTCCATCAAAGCTAAAAATATGTATTTTAATTAATGTATAAGGCTTAACGTTTTTACCTTCGCAAATGTAGCCTTGTCCTATTAGGCCCCACAATAAATCTGAACAGTGATGGCAATAAGTTGGCTTGTGGAACGTTTTCTTTCCGAAAGAATGTCCACCATACGCCATTTTGTTCAGATACTCTTCCGTTGGTACTTGATGTTTTTATTATTATTATTATTATTACTATTTTATTTCCTTCCTTTTATTATTTTGTTATATTTCTGTTCAATTATATATTGATTTATCTCCACGATAAGAAAGCGTAATGAATTAAGATCTCTTTCTTTATTTATATCAAGTTGACCAAATAGATGTTGAAAGATGTAAATGAACGACGTTGTGGACTTGTCGCAATGAGGTCTAAAGACCTTATACAAAAATGAGAGATTCTTGCATGCAAATTTTGATGGAACCAATGATTATCGAAGAGGAATGCCGATTTTCTACGCTCCTTCTAAGGCTCTCAAGCGACTTGAGCCTTTTGCAGCAGCGGACTCGGCAGTACTACATCATCGTCCATTTTCAATCAACTGACAACGGAATTTCCATCATTGCATTATTTCTTGATCCTTTTCGGATGTTTCTCGCTTAACCCGGAAATATCAACTTTTCACATTTAAGTTCTTTAACTCTTTTGACTTTGGTATTCATGAAAAACACCCTTCTACGTTGCCGAAATAAAGATAAAAAAAATTAAAATATGTGTGGCTATTGTTAAATGAACGTTACTAGAAAGGCTTTTTAAAATTCACACTTTGATATTTGTTATCAATTTCAAAATTTTCACTTTTTCCTTTCTTTTTTCTAGAAAGTATATCACTCAGCTGTGAAGAAAAATTTTATTGAGTATTTTTCAAGCTTCACTTTTTTTCTTCTTTACTTTAAACTTTGTCATATTTTTTTTTCTCAAATTTTTACATTTATCTCTTTTTATCTCTCAGAATTTGTTATTAATTCAATTTTTTATAGAATTTTGTCACTTATGGTCCTATTGTAACTCCATAAAACTTAAGAGAAACCGATATTAAAGATATTAAAATAAACTACGTACTGTAATGTGTGGGGAAAGCCTCTTCTTTAGAAATTTTTCCTCCTATCAACACACCTTTTCCATATTTTCTCAAATTTGCTTCCAATATTTTCTTATCGCTTTTCCAATAACCTAACACACCATCAACAAATTTTCTTTGTTTTACACGATATTTTCTTACTTTCTTTCTCATGTATGTGTGAAATATTAATAACTTTAATTTTTCGTGGAAAGTTTCGTGATACGCTTGCGCATAGTCATATTTGAGAGAATGAAATATAGATGGAACAGTTTTATGTTTTTGATTCGGCTCTTTTAATATTTATCAATTTTCTTTTATCATAAAAACAGAATATAATGAATCCATAAAATATATGAACAACGTTTTTCGATCATTTTTTAATTTCTAATTCTTTTTCCTCGAACTCAATCCGTGTGGCAACTTTTTCACGACGATATTCCTGATGAGCTTGATTGCAAACTGCTTCAAATGCCTCATCAGCCGTTGAACAAAAATTGGGAGATTGAGTTAAAACTTGACGTGCATTTTTTTCCGCTGGTGTTAAAGCTTCTAGATGTTCGTAGTTTAAAGATGAAGGTAATCCAATTTTTCCCGAATTCATAACAATTCGTTGACTTATACTCAAGCATTCAGAAGTTAGGTCCAAAATATTCACACTTTTAGGATTTATTTCTTCTACATCCAAAACGAACTTCAAATTTTGAAAAGTTTCCATCAAACCAAGACGAACACGCTCGATTGTATTTATCAATTTGTTATTAGATGCAAGAAGTAGAGAATTTCTCTGGGTCAATTCTGCCTTCATCTGAAAATATTTTAAGTTAATGAATAAGTAATAAACTTATAAAGTGACAATAATATTTATGGCTAGGTATAAAGAGCTCTTTTGAATTTTTAAATGAGTTAAATTAAATTACTTTTGCTAATTCTTCGACCATGAGGCTTGAGGCTAGAAATTTGGATCTCCAAACTTCAGATTGGCTTGATAGATATTCAATTTGCTCCGTGTTGGTACTCAAGCTCTTTGCAATTTTCATTTTGTCTTCTGTTAAGTTATTAACTTTGGCTTGCAAATCTTCACCAAGGCAATGTACTAAGAGTCCTTTAAGTTCAGTGTTTACTTGCATTTGAAAGTTTAATTTATTCTCAAAGAGATCTCTTTCCTTTTTCAGTAGTCCGATTTTACTTTCATCAGTTTCATCTTGAGACAGTTTTCTGAAAGCTTCAATTTTATTCATATTCATGTGATTAACTAATTCGCTTATTTCAAGTTGGTTCTTATTTGAAATTTTGATTGACTTCTTATCACCATGATGTGGTATGATTGGTTTTACACAGGCCTTAAAATATAAATTAATACTTTATACATTAAACTTTTTGTAACAGATAAATAAACTTACACGATAAGGTTCCATCAAAACCAAATTTAATTTTCTGTCCTTCAATGGTACTTCTGGTTTTCTTAATGATTTCAATTTCGGAATTAGATAAAATCGCTTTCCTTTGGGTTGAACAGGTTTCGGAAAATTAAAACTGTCACTTTCCGCATCTGATGGATCATATAAAATTGATGATGTAGATTGAAATTGTTTGGACAAATATTGTTTTCCCAATTTATCAATATCATGTTCGTTTGTTGAAGTCGTTTTGGGTAAGGAATTAAAGGTACCTTCATTTAGCAGTTTACTTGGATTTTCTGTTCCATCTCCTGAGGTTCTTTTCTCAGTCGATATCATAACTTTTTCAATAATTTTAAAAATAAGAAATTCTATTAGATTTATATTTATGTATACAATAACACAACATGGAAAAGATTTCTTCTGAACAATCTCTTTACAAATAATTTATCGATTAGATAATTTTGACAAAAATCACTCTTGTTTAATTTAAAAATAATCTTTAAGTTTAGAAATGTTTAAAATGGAAACTCTGAATTTACTTGTAAAGTACAACATCTACTACAAAATTGCAACTAGTACAATACTATGTTATTCAGCTAGTACATTAAAGGGTGTGTTTTCGAGAATCTAAATATTGTTTGTTTATGTTCATTTTTATTCGTAAAATATAAGTTTCCTTCAATAAAATAAAAAATTCGAAAGTACAAAATGTTTCTCTACAACACGGAAAGATACCTTGCTGCCTTATATTCACTTGGAGGATTTTTTAGTCTCCTAAGCACTATATCAATGGCAATTGTATGGATGCATTGGCGTGTAGTTTTAAATACCTGTGCTGGAGACTTCCACAGTTATCAATCATACTATGACGAACATGATTGTGGATGTATTTTATATGCTAAAGATACATTGTCATATTTCGTTGGTTCTGGTAATAAAGTTTGAAATTATACCCATGTTATATTTATTAATTTAAACATGTATATTTTCAGACATATGGATTTGCTTTTGGGCTACATTTGCATCTATTCTTCCTTTAATTTTCTGTTTCGTATTTGGCTGCTATCATGTATACCGTGTATGTTGTAGATCAACCCCTCCAAGAAGAGCTAAAACAGAACTTCATCAAAGATCAAATGAAGTGATGCAATTGACAGTCGAAGAAGATATCGTTGAAGAAAACGATATATCGCCTTATTATTGGACACCTGTTACTATAATCGCTATAATAATGGTTTTTTATACTTTAAGTCATGCAGTTACGGTATCAGATGGATTTCGCAGGTATGTAGAACGATACATTTGCTTACGTTTTATTTTATTTTATTTTTGAATATAGCACATGTAAACAATATCGTAACACCGTTGTGAAATATATTCAGGCGCAAGGACAAATGGTAGGTTTAACGTTTCTAAAAAACTCTATAAATAAAACTCAGTTTTTAAGACTACCTAGGGTTCAGACCAAAAAATTGTTCTTGACACTTCGAGTCTTAGTAAATTAAAAAATTGCAAGAATGATTCTTGACTTGGTATATAAAATGGAGGCTCTACATTAAAAATTTTTTTTAATTAATATCTAAGGTTGGAGTGATTCAGTCCAGACTTAGCTGTGGAGCGATATTTGATTTTATGGATTACTTGCATCAAGATTTGTCATACGAAAAACGCCGTGATTACAGAATAAATACATCAATTCCATTCATCTTAGCCGTGGTGGGTGTTTGGGGAGCTTGTATTTGTTGGATTGGGATTACAATAGTAAACATAATGCGTTGCCGACACAGTAGAAGAGTCAGAATTTAATTTCCTACTCTTCAAATTACATAATTCAACACAAATTCACTTTATGAAAAAGAAACATTCTACAAGATTAAATTCCAAAAATTTCAGAGCATTTTTATTATATACTTAGTCTATAAGAAAATAATTGATTTGTCATATTTCAATCTTATATAACTTATAACGATTCCGTCTTATTTTATTTTTAAAGTAAATTTTAACTTTGACATGCCTTAAAAATTACACTATAATTATATTTGAACAATATCCATCCACGTAGTTATACTTAGAAAAATTAAAAATCATTTTTTAGACTAAAATTAAAACACAATGTAATTTTTAAATAAGAAAATTTAATAATAAAAACATATTTTTTGATAATAATAAATGTTTGTTTTGAATTTAATTAGTTTTAATCTGCTTTTAATAATAAATTAATCGTTTGCTGATAAATGTTTACTGCTAATTAAAAGTACCAAAGTTTCCATCAAAGTTTCTCCGCTTTGTAACTTAATCATAAATTTAATGCTTCTCATTTAAACAACTCTGAATTTTCTTGAGCCAAAAATATCAGTCAATTTCTGATCACAAAAATAATTAGCTTTTCATAAAAAATGTCTACTGAACAGTAAGAATTTTAGGGTTTGACTTTAGTCAAAGAATGTTAGTTTGATGTACGTACCCGGTACGTATGCAGCTTACAAACTTATTAACATACGTCATAAACCTATAAATACTCAATAGAAATTATGGAATGGAAGGTGACATCAGAAATAAATATCCTTATCATTGGAGTTCAGAATTGAGTTCATGCGGTTCCCTGCTGATGTGTACACACTTATGAACACTTGTTCTCAGTTTACGCTCATTTATAATTTTGATTCGATAAGGTGTGGTTGTGATTTCAATTGGAGTGAAGATGGGTAATTATTCATTAATTTAATTTTTACCATAATTTGAGGAGTAAGAAAAGGTTAAGGATTTTAAATTTAAAATAATAGCAAATAGATATATCTTATCATAATTTGAATATTTAGATATATCTTTTTTTCATTCATTCATTCATTCATCATTCATACAGATAGATATAGGTAGTTATTCACTTTTGTTAAAAAAAGAACATATTCCAAGAAATTCCATTAACACAATGTATATTTAAATTTATATAACTTTCATAAATATATATCGTTTAAATTGTAAGGGCAAAATGTAAAACAGAAGAGAATTAATGCCAAGATTAATGCTATCATCTTCAGACATTATTAATTAGTTTTTTTTACTCTTACTAAAAATGTTGCTTCATTTTTCATTGTCAAAGGTCATTTTAAAGGCGCTTCAGATAATGCTGTTTGTTTCTCTCTTATTAAGAATATGATTACATATTGAAGTGAAACAATTTACAGTTTTCAGAATACATGAAGATATTTTCTCAACTTTCATTTCATCGACTAGTTTCGATGACAAAATATCATCATCATCATCAGGATTTTCTACAATATTTAAATTGTTTCACTTCAACATTAAATCAACATCAGACATGTTGATATTATTAATTTAAATGTGATTAAATTTTTTAATAGGGGCACCAACAATCAAACGTAGGGGCTCAGAAATACCTATGGAAACTGTTGATAAGTTTGCTTCCATTCCTATGGTAGAGAGTGGTTTAAAAGTCGGGATGATTGCTTACAATAGAGTGAAGCGAACAAATCAGTTAACATACTGGGGACTGCAAACATCAGAAAATGTTATATTATCGTTACTGGAATCACTTCGTCCGATTGTAAAGCTAGTAGAAAAACCTTTGGTGAAAATTGATAAAATTGGATTATCAGTTTTAGAAAGGTTTGAGGAGAACATGCCTAACCTTTATTTGCCTCCACAAATGATTTATTGGAACACGAAAGAATATGTTTCTGATAACTTTGTTCAACCTGTTCTAAAAAGAGCAAATTCTTTTGGCGACATTGTTGATGGAGCTTTGGATAAGGCTGATAATGCTCTCGATAAATATTTACCAGATATAGAAAATATAAAAACAGATGAGTCTGAGCATACAAATGAGAAAGGTAATCATGCGGTTCAAACATATCGTCGTGGGAAAAAGATTTCTAAGAAATTGAAGCATAAGTTAACATCACGAACTGTTGCTGAAGTTAGAGCATTGAAAAATGATGTCCATGTACTCATCTATGCTGCTGAAATGATTGTCAAGAATCCAAAACTAGCCATTAGAAAATCAAAAGAAATTTGGAATTATTTGTCTCTTAATGAACCGGAAAACCAAAAAAGACCAGAAACTTTAGAAGAACTATTTGTTCTTTTAGTAAGGTATGATAAAGAAGAAAAATAGTCCTTTTTGAAACAGTTTTTTTATTTTTTCTTTCTTTTAATTTCAGAGAAACTTCAAGAAAAATTGTTCACTTGATTAATTTTTCTGTCAAACTTTCTTCGAGAGTTCAAAATAAGACAAAAAGTTTCGTCTCAGAAATCGTTCATCAGATTTTCTATTTTTCTGATTGGATATTAAAGGTATCAGTAATGATATGTTTGCAAAATAAAATTTTTAGTAGAAAAATGAATATTTTTTAGACAATTCATCTCGATTTGCATAAAATATCTTTGACCTATGAAGATACAATGGTATGATGGTTTCACTTTAATTAGATTTCTATCTAAATATTATAACATAACGACTTAATTATTATAGTAATTTATTTTCTAATATTTACAGGAAAAACTTGCAATATTTTTTTCGGGACGTTTGGAAGCAGAAAAAATTGAAATGTCATCTCAATCAAGAGTCTATACTAGACCTTCTTCTATTAACGGACTTTATTAATTTCACTTAAATTTGCTTAACAAATTTATCTTTGATAAATTTTTATGATATAACTTTCATTACTTTTTCTTCCTATTATTGAATAAATAAACATTCAAAAACTTCACATCCCTATCTGCAGTTACAATTAGATATTTTTCGACTCTCTCAAAATGATTAATCTTTTTCGGTTTTAAATTAAAATTTTTTGCAACATTCGTCAATGATTTGTTTTTCCGAATCATATTAAAATGAAAACTTACAAAACACGTAAATATAAATAGGGAGTTTTTTTTTATTTTAAACCTGTATAATGTTCTACACAAATATTTTGTTCATGAACAATTTATTTAAATAGATAAATTTGATTATATTAAAGAAGGTTGAAAATACTTTATAAATATGTATATCGATTTGTATTTATTAACTTTGAATTTTCAAATTTAACTATGAAAAGGAAGGCAGTTACTGAAGAAGCTTAGGTCAAAGTTTTTAGAATTTTAAGTGGCTTTTGTTCGTTTTGAAGAATGTTCACATACTTTTTCATCATTGCAATTTCATAGAGTTTCGAATATTGTCAAGTTCGATATCTGTTGAACAATTTTCAGAATTTGATTGGAAAAGAGAATCTATACTTGTAACAGTGTTTGAATTGTTTGTAACTTCCTTATCAAGTTTCATAAGAAGAGGTTCTGAAACAGGCGAAATTGGAGTCAAAGGTACTCTTTGTTGTGGCTGAGAATTCGATACCAAATTTCCGCTGTTTACATCTTCAATTGCTTTTCGAAGCTGTTAAAACAAAAAAGTATTTAGTAATCTTCTACTTAAAAGATTTAAATAGCAAAGCAAACCTCTTTAAGAGCGACAACTCCAACTAATCGTCCAATTTGTGTGACATATGCATGATTTATTCCCACCATAGAGAAAAGAGAATGAACCTTTAATAAAGATGTTCGCTCGACAAGTTGGAACGGCGCTGCATCAATATGTACGTTTGCTGCTTCTAAATCAATTGCTTTAGCCATTTCTTCTTGTTCCCAAATTTTTTGATCTTCTGCTGACATATCACAGACACGTTCTCGTGGCAATTGAACCTTTTTAGAAATACTACTGGGAAAGTTTGGTCCGTCGACGCTCGGTGACATGTCACCTTTCCATCCCAAAGATGATTTCGAGCCTAATTCTGGATCGTTTGGATTTTGAACGTCTTGAAGTGTTGCTGATTTTTTGAAAATAACATCAAAAGCAGATCGAATACGGTTTTCCGCTACCGTGATGGTTGAATAAGGCGTATGTATTGGACTATGAGCTGAACTTAATGGACTAAATCCTTTCATAGTGAATGAATTTGTCTTTTTTAGAATTGATTTTTTTGGAAGTGAGCCAAACACGGGATTAAACTGTGAGCTTTGCTTTTTAGCTTTTGGTGTAAGCATTTCATTGTTTGCTATTTGACGTAATTTATCGATATCAGGCGCTGGAGTGACTTCAAATCTCGAAGGTCTTCTTTGTTGTTCAGACTGCATAAGTTTAATTCGTTCCTGTTCTTCACGTTCATCCGCTTCCTTTTTCCATTTTGCTGCAACTTCTAAACGTTTCTCTCGTCCAATATGCTTCTCTAACATTCTAATCAATTCAAAACGTTGAACTGATCCCAAAAGAATCATATTATCTGGACTGTCGACCAATGGGAAACTTCTTAATTGCTTGTTCTGCTTCAAAACCTCTTTTAGTGTTTGGTAGGTAATGCCTTGCCAAATATACTTAACATCTCGAAGCATGAAGTCTTCTACTGTAAAGTTATACATTCCACTGCCAGATGGAAGGAGATCAGGTAAATAGGGGAGTTTCTTAATTAAAATGATACTGTCGTATATTGATGGTTGGAGAAGAGCTGCTATTGCATTTGAAATCAAAACTGCAATCATCACAGGAACTAAATGTGAAATTTGACCAGTCATTTCAAACACAATTACACCAACAGATACAGTATGTGTCACACTGCCTGCAAAAGCTGCAGCTCCGACGACGGAATAACCTCCTGGAATGATAGGATTTGTTCTTCCACCATATCGAACTCCTGTTGGAAACGACAGATGCATTGCTTCTCCCATTATGCGTCCCATTGCAGCACCTAATATAAATTAACCAACCCATGAACTTAACCAAATTTCTATGTTAAATTTTCACATTTACAAACCTATTTTAAAAACAGGAATGAAAATGCCCGAAGGCACTGGAATAGTTGAAGTTATGATTGAGAAGAAAAACTTAAAAAGATAAAAAGAGAATTTATTAAGACTTTATAAAATAAAACTTAATTAATTAAATATTATTACCGTATATAGCAAATAACAAACTAGGTTGAAAAAGACGCCATCCACATAGGTGTTGGACCACTGCGAAACAATCGCGGCTTGTTCAACATTTAAATTATTTTGTGACCATGTGAAATTGGTGAAAAGGTTTGAAACCTGAAAATTTTAGTTTGCAAAAATTTAATGTAAGTGATTTAGATTTTCGTGTTCAATGTAATGAGTTAACCTGTTCATGAGTACTCAGTTCACCAGCTATGAACTTCCCAAGCCCATTGGGATATGAGACCGAAGCGACCTTTTTGATAATTAAAATATTGCCATTAAAAAGAAAATGGAAAATTATCATAGAAACACTTACTATAAAAGCTAAAATTCCAGGATAAATAAAACGATTTTTCTGTAGAAACTTATTGAGAACTTTATTTGAGCGCATGAAGAAGACGTATCGTCTATGCACCCACACCCACAAAGCTCCTCCAAATCCACAAATAATACTTAAAATTGAATTTTATTCTGATTAAAAGAAAAATGATTTTTAAATTTCATACTTACCCTATAAAAGCAAATGCCAGAAGCTCTTGGGGATCATAGGGAAAATCCATTGTAAAACTAGTTAAAAATAATGCAGTTAATGTATCTGCTCGTTGAAACCACACAGCTAGTAAGCGAAAGAATGTCGCGCCGCATACAGCACCAAAGAAACCTCTCCAATAATTTCTCACAGCAAAATAAGTGGTTGTTACTTCGATACTAAATAAAACACCTCCCACTGGAGATGCAAAGCATGATCCCACCTTAAAAAGTTGATATAATTATGAAGAAAATATATAATTTATTCATTTTTTATTTACCCCGACAGCACAAGCAGCTGCTAACATCTCAGTGTTTCGAGACTCGTTTTCAAATATACCTTGAAAAGATGTGATAAGTTTGCTTAACAATTGAGCAACAATACTGGCAATATGAACAAAAGGTCCTTCCTTCCCTAAAGGCATCCCTGAACCTAAAGTTGCCTATTGAATGAATGACAATAATGCTAATGAATAACCTTGAATAAATGTGATCCATTTATCTCTACCGTTAATCCTATAACTTTTGCAACAAGTGTCTTAAATGTCAAATATTCTTTAAGCGCAACACCTCTAAGAATTGTCTTCATCTCAGGAATCCCCGAGCCTAAAATTTATTAATTGTCAGTCAATCAAGTTCAAACGATTTAATTAATTAAAAAAACCTATGCTTTGTGGTGCAACTAAGTGCACAAATCCAGCTGAGAATAGAACCAAACAAAAGGGTAAGGACACCCACGCAAGGAACTGTATTGCTGGATCTGATGTGAGATCTCTGTATAACCATACTCTGGCATTGTTACACATGGAGATTCCTTTATCCATGACGTAAGAAAGAACAGCCATGATGAAACCAAGCATAGCTAAGAATATCCAATCCTCGCCCATTCTAGCAAACGTATGTCGCCAACACCAAGACACGGCTTGAAATATTTTTCCTTTTCTACGTCTGCCAAGTAATTCCTGCAAATTCCCACCACTGCAGGTTTATATTTCCGCTTGTATAACTTCATATTTTATGTCTGTACTTTAATGCTACTTCATTAATTACCTTATCTTTAGCTCTATCTTCTTTTTTTCGTTGTCGCTCCAACTGTTTAAATCTTCTTGCTTCATCTTTTGCATACTCTCCTAAATCTTTGGTATAACGACCATACATCTAAATAAGATGAGAAATAATTTTAATTATATTTAAATCATTCAATTTCTAAAAGAGTAACAATATTTTTATAATAGAATATTATTCCATGCTCTGTACATGCTTTGAATTTAAGATTTATATGAAAAAATAACAAATATCTATTAAAAGATTTAATAACAGTTATAATTTCGTATTAACGAGATATTACCTAAAAGTGTTAAGGATATGGATCAACATTGTCACTGTTTTATTTAAATTTATTATTTCACTTATTTTTTTTTAGAAAGTATTTTTAAATGTCTTCCTTATTTGATTATTTCCCTACTTATAACTATAACTTTAAATTGTAAATTTAAGGAACAAAGAGCATCAAGTGCATTACACAATTTAAACTCAGGCATATGAAGGAAAATTTCTTATCAAATATTTATCACTATTTTCAAGGTTTAATTCGCTTGGGATTTCACTAATTGTTGTGTAGTTAGAGACAAATAGATAATTATTAATGAACTTGAAAATTACAAGATTTTCACAAAGCAGATGATTTCCAATGAAATTTTCACACAAAACTAGATAGGGATGTTCGAGAAAATAAATGAGAAAATATAGAAAAAATTGTCGAACCGCCAAAAAAATGTTGTTTAAAAATAGAACAATCATGTCATTCTTCCTCTATATAGAAATTATTTTTTATCATTAATTAATGATTATATACTTATTTTAAGGTTCAAATTGAAAAAAAATTAAACAAAAGATTTAAATTACAATTTTATAAAGCGTTATAAAAATTTTCAAAGACACTGTGCTGCACAGAAAGATAGTTCAAGGTTGCGTTTATTTAGTTTTGTTAGACAAGGTGACGAAAATAAGAAAAACAATGAAGAAATAAGTTATTCCCAGCTTTAAGAATGGATCAGCCATTCATTGATGTTCCATTGATTGTCAATAATTCATCTATATATAAATATACTAATACAATCTCTTAAATAATTATAGAACGATAATAGATGTTTATTGCGAGAGTAAAAAATATTACAAATTTTGAAGTAAATATACATCGCGTTGTGTCTTAAAATTGTTTATATCATTTTCATTGTTACTTTTTCACCGGGACACGTTTTGAGTGTAGGTATTTTTAAATACGTTTTCCTTTTGTCTTTTAAATTATGTATGAGGAAAAAAACTTTTCTGTTTTTAAAATACATAAATATAATTTTAATCTCTTGTATATGTGGCATTGAAAAAAATAAAACTTCACAGTACATATTTACAAGATGAAAAGATGCTTTTGTAAATCCCAATACAAATTTTTACCCTTTCTCTTCTATGAATGCTTCTATTTATTTTCTGTGTTTATTGGTGAGTTTTTTCTAAAAAAATTTCATTTTCATTGAATACTTTCACCATATTTAAGATAAATATGATAAGTTTTTCTCTGTGAAAAAACAACTTCATCTATAGTAGATGATCTGCTCTCAATTGTCAATTTTAAGTTTCCAGAAGGACTGTTGCCTAGTAATAACATTCTGATTTTCTAAACATTCTACACATTCAAGATAGATACCTAATTGTTGAATAAATATGTAAAGTTATTATTATAAAAATATCATAACGGAAACACTCATCGTGATAGTAAAGTTATCCAAGAATAGAAATTTTACTATCGAATTCTGTACAAAAAGTAGGAATTTAAAACTCATTACGCTTTTACATGTTTTGATAAACAGTTTTGATTTTAAAAACCTTCTTGAACACACTAAGTTTGAGTAAGATTGACGGTTGAAAATTGGACAACTGTCAAGACGGCTTAAATATTCATTCAACTCAATAAATTTGATGTGTTTATGATCTTACAATTTTTATTTCTTCAGTTTAATCCCTTCGAAGGGCTTTCGTAAGCGGAGGCCCTCGTAAGATTTCAGGTGAGAAATTGTTGTCCTAACTTTTCTTTTGATTTCCCGAAAATGTTAGAAAAAATTACATTGTCGAATTGATAGCTTCATGAAAGTAATTTATTTTTATTATTTTACTACTTTAATGAAAAAATTATTGTTGATGTAAAACGAAAAACGGTTTTCAGACAATCAGAAGATTTTATTCTCAGATTTATTTCATCGATTAGTTTCGGTGGCAAAATGTCACCATCATCAGGACCTTAGAAATGTTTGAGAATTTGTCAATATTCACAAATTCTCAAACATTTCTAAAATCCTAATGAATGATGGTGACATTTTGCCACCGAAACTAGTCAATTTCATAACATCAGACGTATCAATTTAATACTAATAAGAAAAAATTATTGTGTATCAGTTTAAGTCTACTACTTTGCAAAAAAAGTAGCCTTAAAACGAATTTTATCGTCTCAATTCTAATTAAATTTACCTTTAAACTAAATATGCTAGATAGATATGTCATGCGAAATTTATCTAATAGTGTATCCAAATCAATCAATCATGCATGCATACATGCTTAGTGCCGTTATTAAAAGCAAATTTCCTCACAAGAGTGTTTTTGTAACCGTCACCATCGTAACTAGAGCCATCATCATCGCTAGAATATTCATACTGGTCAGGCTCTGAAAAACTAGCCGGACAAGGATAAAAAGCCTGGTTTTTAACACGTCTTTCTCTTCGTCGCGGTTGCTGTATATCCATAGAATTTGATGACATACGACGCTCACGATATTCTCGAAGAACCCGTTCGAATTCAGCCCATTCTTCATCAATTTCATCGACATTTTCCTCTCCAAAAGCTCCCGCATCATGTATAATACGCTCAAAAAAATCTCTTCCCCTTTCCATTTCTCTTTCATGTTGCTCACGATTGTGATCTTTCATTTTTATTGTTGCTTGTTTGTCTGATAGATTGTTCAATTTGAGATAATATTCAATTTATTTGTTTTATTCTCAACGACGTTTTTCTTTCTCACTTTGATCAAATTTACTTCTTAAGTCGATATTTAACTTACGAAATAGAAGAAAAAGCGGTAGAGAACAATTTTAAAAATTTAAATTTAGACATTCGTTAATTTCGATTTGCTTTAATCACTGAATGATAGGTTATTACTTGAGATATTTTTAATATGAATGTTTTCTTATTTTAATACTTTTCACAATTTCTCAACCCAAATTTCTAAAGATTTTTGTATTATTCTTTCGAAGCACTGAATATTTAAACTTTTTTTAAATATATTATGCGTTATTCGGTGTTCAAATAATTTTCATGATCGTTGAATTAGAGATATGTAAAATACATAAGAAAGAAGAAAATTTTTAGAATTTTGATGTCAACTCGTTAACAACTTCGTTCAGAATGAATGGCTTTCGCTCGTCACAGCTCCGAGAAGGAAAGTAAACCTAATTCTCATAAATTGCTTGATTATACTCGCTGATTACTCTTCTTATATTTGAAATGATTTCATGAAGAAAATTCTCAATGCTGCTGATTCTTTCACAAATGCTTATCCCTGCACTGCTGGAAGCACTTCTTTTACCTCAACAAATTGATATTTGCTATCCATCCATAAATCGGGGCAAGGAAAACGAAATCTCTCTTTTTCTAAAGTTTCGATTCGGACCATCTTGAAATCATCGAATCTTTAACTCAACACGCTTGAATATTTTTATATCATTTAAATAAAGTGCCAGACTCATCACTAGTAAACTTCTTTCACAGTGTGATTAAAAATTTACGCTTTATTTTGTCTCATCATCACAAAAACATTGTTTCTCACGCATCTCTATACTAAAGTTAAATTGGTTATTGGGTTCCGTTTTATAGAGATGAAAGATACAAAACTTACATCTTCAAATATTGCACAAGAAAAAATTAATTTCTTTTATCAGATTTAGCAAATATTTATAGAAAAACTCGGGAATGAGCAAAAAAATGTTTGTTTTACTTTTAATGATAAATATTGAACTTTGATGCTTCTGTTTCTTAATCGGGTTTTGTCCATTTTAAGTTTTCCTAGTATTATCTTTATTAACATTTCGTCGAGAAGATGATTTCTCTATAAGAAGTTAAACTCCATAATTTAAAATGATAATCGATTCTTTTTAATTCCTAGAACAACTATCATTGAAAGTTGAATAGTTTTTCCTATTTTTTTTAAATTATGTTGTATAATTTGCTCACATCTAATTATCCAAAATTATTTCTTCTTGAATAAAGAACTTACTCAATTTACGGAATCCTTTTATTGAAATTTGTAAATTTTAATAAATTTTTAAAATAAAGCAGCTTGATATGTGGTGTCAAAGACAAGACTGAAAATAAACCTAATTGCGAAAAGAAACTCCAAAACGATTTAATTTTCTTATCATTTTTTGATAAAAACTACCATTAATTTATTGCTACCTTAATTAGCAGAAGCCGAATAAAAATTGATGTTTGATTTAGCAGTGATTTGATTTTAAAACTAATCAAATTTTTTTTGAGTGAGCACCTTAAACATTATTTTTAAATGAAGCATTTAAAGTGATAAATTGTTTTTTATCACATCTATTCTTATTTTGATTCTTTGCATTGCATTGCATTGTTATTTTTATTCTTTTCTATGGTCTTTTCGAGGAATCTTTTTTGATCATATTGATCATACAACAACCACAATTGCTTAAAGCTCAAAAAAGTTTAATAAAAGCTTTAAAACTTTAATATGAAAAAAAATCAAATTTTAAAGCTCTTTTGAAACGTTATAACTAATATTTTTAAAAAAAGTTTTAAATATTTAGTTTGCATTGAAGCAACTAATTCATAAATGAATTTAAAGCATTAGACATTTTCATATTTATTAATTTCCATAACTTTTTATTGAGAAAGTTCATTAAGAAATTAGCTCTCAATTCCGAATAAGTAAGGAAAAATAGCTCAACTTATTTCTTTCTAATGCAAAGAATTATGCATAATAGATCTTTTGATTTACAGTGGATTAAGAATCAATAAATATAAATAAAAACAGTTCTTGTTTTCATCTTGATTAGGTATATGTAAATATTTATATTACAATTTGGCAAATACTTTCAATTACTATTAATTTATCTATAAAATATTTAGTATTGTTACATGGACGTAAAATTTATTCTAAATCAAATTTTCAAAACGTATACCGATACAGAAAATTGAAATGACTCAATTCGTAAAAGATTATATCTACTCTTTGTGAAATATTTTAAACATTTTACTTACTAATGTGTTTTGATAGCCAAGTCCTATCTCGTCATCATCATCTGTAAGAGTATCCATTGGTTGGTTCATTTTGAGGATTTTTGGAACATTGAGATGATCCATTTTTGTGTTTATATGTTGTTTTGACATTTTCAAATAAAGTGAATTTCCTTCCTGTTAAAAAGTAGATATTAGAAGCTTAAATATCAAAACATCTAAGTACCATATCACCATAAATATATGTAAAAACAAGAATATTGAGACTTTTTAAAATAGTGATAGATAATATTTATGTCTTTGTTTCAAAATAAGTAGAAGATTTTGATAAAATACATTTTTTGAAAACTATATTTGACAAAATTGAGTGTCTCGAGAAAAGTATTTGATTTTAATTAGGTTCAAAAATGTTTATATAGGAACAAGGTGATATATGCATTGAGCCGAGGTCTCTTACTCTTATTATTAAATTTTACAATCGACTTGATTAAATTTGTTATCAGCTTTTATATGTATATGAAGTGATAAGAACAACTTGTTTATATTTTGGTCTTACTGATACAGGGTTATTCTGTGAAAAAAATTCTGTATAAGAAGTGAAGAAAAAAATTCATCTAATGACAGTGGCAGATCAATGAGTGATTCACTGCCTAAGTATATACCTTATATACCTACTTATAAGCAAAACTATTTTCTAAATGTCTTCAATTCAATTCAATATTTAATTATCAAAATATCAAGAGAGACATAAATT